CAGGGAGGGAGAAGCGGGTGCTGTGCTGCCCTGGGCCGCAGTCGGGCCTCAAGAACGCCCTTCCTGGGCCCAGGGACGCGGCTGGGGACACTCACTAGGGTGCTGCCATGGGACCTGACCAGAAGTCCTCTGCTGATCTGGCTTGGGCAATACTTAGTACACACTGACTGTTATTTTGTTTTACTTAAAAAATTTTTTTCAGTTGTTGATGGACCTTTATTTTATTTATTTCTTTTATGTGGGGCTGAGGATCAAACCCAGTGCCTCACACGTGCTGGGCAAGCGCTCTGCCACTGAGCCCCAGCCCCAGCCCAGCTGGCCCCTGGTGGTTATTTTTTGAGGTTCATTTTCACACCTGAGAGAAGGATAAAAATGCATGTTTGAGCTGAGTTTTCTTTCTTTGGAGCGGGTTACTGGGGTGCTCTATCACTGAGCTGTACCCCCAGTCCTCCTTTCTTTCTTGTTTGCCTCAATAACTTACTGAGGCTGGCCTGGAACTTGTGACCCTCCTGCCTCAGCCTCCTGAGTTGCTGGAATGACAGGGTGGCCACCATGCCGCACTAAGTGTTTTTTTTTTTCTTCTTTCAGTAACGTCAGTCACTGCCCTAAGTCAGGGTCTCCTCCTCATGACCGAGGCTAGGGCTCAGTGGTGGGCGTCCTGAGCACTGCACGTGCTGAGCAGCACCCCTCCTGGCACAACCTCCCTCATGGAGCCACCACTGTCCCCAGACATGGCCGGTGTTCCCTGGGGATGGGGTCGCCCAAAGGAGAACTTGCTCTGGAGCTCTGGGCCCGCTTCTCTCCTGTCAGGGAGCATGCGGCAGGCAGATGGAGGGTCAGGGAGACCAAGGTGGCCTCGGGTCGCCTGTGGTGCAGCTGCTGTACACTGAGCTGTCGTTGAGCTTGCTGATTGTGACCAGGGCTGAGGACCCACTGCTTTGCCCCGGCCTGCAGTGGATGCAGACATGAGGTGCCCTCCCAGCCTCAGGGAAGGACCGTCCAGGTGGCACCTCTCCATGCCTTCATCTTTTGTCCCCAGAGCCGCTTACATGAGCCGCACATGCTGAGAGGCAGTATGTGGCTGCACCCAGTTCATTTATTTATTTACTTATTTTTTAGGGAGAGAGAAACAGAGGGAGAAAGAGGAGGAGGAGAGAGAGAAGCAGTGCCTAGGCTAGAGGCAGTGGGCAGGGATGGACCTGGCATGTGGCACCACCCCCTGCCCCTGCTTGGGGCCGAGGAGCCTTGTGAGCCACCAGGCACACATCCTCCTGTGCAGACGGCAGGTGGCCCTCGAGCCCCTCTGCCAACACTGGGGAAATACAGCTTCTCTGGCTTTATCCCAGAAATCTGCCTGGATTTCATTCATCTAGGGCAGGCCCAGGAATCGGGTTTGTTTATATTTTTGGTGGCGGGGATTGAGCCAGGGGTACTTTACCACTGAGCCACTTCTCCAGCCCTTTTTATTTATTTTTAAAAATTTTAATTAATTAATTTATTTTTGGTGGTGCTGGGGATTGAACCCAGGGCCTTGTGCATGCTAGGCAAGAACTCTATCAGCTCAGCTATGTCCCCAGCCCCCTTTTTTAGTTACTTTGAGACAGGGTCTTGCTAAGTTGCTTAGGGGCTCATTAAATTTCTGTGGCTGGCTTTGAACTTGAGATCCTCCTGCCTCAGCCTCCTGAGCCCCTCCATGACAGGCCAGTGAGAATCTAAATTTTTAAGAAAAGCTCTCCAGGGAATTTCATCTGTGCAGCGAGGTTTGATACAGCCAGTTTGCCTGTCGCCCTGAGGGGTTCCTGTGGAAAGGAAGTGTGCATCCTGTGTTCCAAATAAGTTCCCACAGCTAAAGAGGAGCCCTTGCACCTCTGCACTTGTTTGGCAGGTGGAGGAGCGAGTTTTTCCATGGAGCTAGCCCAGGCAGTTGAGGAATCCCACCAGGCTGCATCTTGAATTGTTTTTGTGTTTCAGTATGTAGCCATTTATACCTTACACCTCAAAACATTTCTAGTTTATGTTTTTTTTTTTTTTTTGAGACAGGGTCTTGCTAAATTGCTGAAGCAGGCTTTGAACTTATAACCCCCTTTCTTTCGCCTCCTGAGCCACTGAATTATAGGTGTGCGCCACTGCATCCAGCTAGTTTATATTGTTAACATAGGATCATCCCTTGGCACCCTTGAGGGCTTGATTTCAGGACTCCCAGGATACCAAAAATCCAAGGATGCTCAAATGCCTTATATAAACTGGACACAGAGGCACTGGCAAAGGTGACTTGGGAGGCGGAGGCAGAAGGATCACAAGTTTGAGGCCAGCCTCAGCTACTTAACAAGGTCTGTCTCAAAAAAAAAGAAAAGAGAAAACAAGGACTGGGGATGTGGCTCAGTATGAAGTGCCTTGTTTCAGTTCCTGGTACCCTTTTACCACAATCCATATTTTGACACCAGGTAGCTTTGATATAAGCATTTAAGCACTGTGACGAGTCGCTTTGTGATTTTGGTGCTGAGGTGGCACCCAGCGCCTCCCACCTTCCAGCATACCGCTCGGCCGCGAAGCTGCACTTTTGCCTGTGCGTGGATTTTATTTCGGAATCTTTGCGCTTCTGGGGTCTGCGTGACTGCTTCCTGTTGCCTGCTTCTCTGCTGAGGTTCCCAGGCTCTTTCCTGCCCCAGCGGACTGTCCTCTGCTCCTCGGGAGCCGGGCGGCCTGAGGGGCTGCTCTGCCTGCCCAGCCCCTGTCCTGCAGCCAGCTGCTCTCCCTGGGCTGCCTGTTTCCTTGAGTGCAGGTGGCTCCTGCTCCTCATTTGGAGTATTTTCTGGATACTGGGAGTGGACATTGACAGGTCCTCCTGCCCGGGCAGCGGGAGGCGTGTCGCTGAGAACCTTAGTGAACTGGTGTTGTGCTGGGACCCCCGTCTTCAGTGGTCTTGGGTGTACCTGGGATTGGAGTTGCTGGCCAGGTGGGCGGTCACTACTGCTGCCGGCAGCAGCTGCACCTTTTTTTTTTTTTTAAAGAGAGATATTTTTTAATATGCATTTTTTAGTTTTCGGTGGACACAACAGCTTTTTTTTATTTGTATGTGGTGCTGAGGATGAACCTAGCGCCCCGCGCATGCCAGGCAAGCATGCTACCGCTTGAGCCGCATCCCCAGCCCACCTTTCTGTTTTTGTACCGGGGATTGAGCCCAGGGGTGCTTACCACTGAGCCACATCCCCAGCTCTATTTAATTTTTTCTTTTTTAAAAATATTTTAGTTGTAGTTGGACACAATACCTTTATTATTATTTTTTTTATGTGGTGCTGAGCATCGAACCCAGGGCCTTGCATGTGTGAGGTGAGCGCTTTACCCCTGAGCCACAACCCCAGTCCCTTTTTTTTACTTTTTTATGTTTTATTTTGAGACAGGATCTTGCTAAGTTGCTTCAGGCTTTTGCTGAATTGCTGAGGCTGGTCTTGAACTTGCGAACCTCCTGCCTCAGCCTCCCCAGCCACTGGGCTTACAGGTGTGGCCACTGCACCTGGCAGCTCCACTTGTTTGTTTGTCTGTCTGTCTGTGGTACCAGGAATTGAACTCAGGGCCCTTGACCACTAAGCCCCACCCCCAGCCCTGTTTTGTATTTTTTATTTAGAGGCACGGTCTCACTGAGTGGCTGAGAACTTGCTGGTGCTGAGGCTGGCTTTGAACTGGCGATCCTCCTGCCTCAGCCTCCTGAGCTATTGGGATGACAGGCGTGTGCCACCGTGCCCAGCAGGCACCTCCACCCTTGATGTTCCCATTTAGCAAGAGCCTGAAGCAACTTAGCCAGACCCTGTCTCAAAATGAAACACAAAAAAGAAAAGGGGCTGGGGTTGGGGCTCAGCAGTAGAGCGCTTGCCTCACGTGCTCGAGGCCCTGGGTTGATCTTCAGCACCACATTAACTGCTGTGGTCCTTTGAGGTGCAACAAAGGGACACCCGCGTGCCAGGCAAGGATCCCAGGAGCCCTCAGCAGGATTTGGTAATTTGAAGCATGTTGTCAGTGTACAGTGTCGCTTGTTCCATTGTTCTAAGTCTGGATCATAAAATATTCAGAATATTCTGTGGCAGAGAGGGCACTGAATAGCAGTGGCCCTCTGCCCCTGCCTGGGTCAGGGCGTGGCCCTGCAGTGACAGGACGAGCAGCAGGTGCTGGGGCTGCCTCCACAGAACAGCCCTGGAGGGGATGAGGTGGCCGCACGGGGACTGGGACCAGAGCTCCTTGTCCCATCCACGAGGGCCTGACCCCAGGGGAGGTGGCAGGTCTTGGGGGTGTTGGAAGGAGCTTTGAGCCCCACCATCTGAGGATGGGAGGACAGGACACAGCAGGTACAGCTCTTGGTCCTCTCATCACACAACCAAACAGGGTGAGGGGCCCTGGTGCTCGACACAGTGCTCAGGAGGGCCCCCCGTGGCCCCTGAACACCGACTGTTGAAGTTACCCCGGACCCTGGAGTGACCTCTGCTTTCCTCCTGGGCTGACGTGGTGTCCTCTGCTCGTCTCGTGGTGTGCCGCACTCAGAGGAGCACGTCTGGCTGGCACCTGACCCTGGCCCCTCAGTGCTGCTGGGCCGAGCCCTCTTGGGCATGGCGGGAGGGCAGAGCTGGCAGCCTGTGCCGAGGGCTGGAGGCACATGGCAGGCGGAACCCCTGGGTGGCATGACAGGCCCAGTGCCCTGCGTCCACTGGGGAGTGGACACATCCAACGTGTCCACACATGTGTTGGAATGTTATGTGACACCAGAGCATTCTGTCACCCTCACCCAAGGCGTACAAGAAACTGTGTCCTCGTGAGCAGTTACCGCCATCCCCTCCCCAGCCTCTGGGTGTCCACGGCCTGTCCCTGGACCCACCTGTTCTGGGCATTTCCTATCAGTAGAATCGCACACTGTGGCCTTTTTGTGTCTGGCTTCTTTCCAGACTGGTTACTGTCGACTGTTTCCGGTAGATGTTTGAACTTAGGCTGTTTTCTTTCTTTTTCCATTTTAGGCAAAATACATCTCTCAGTGCATTGACGAAATCAAGCAGGAGCTGAAGCAAGACAACATCGCGGTGAAGGCCAATGCCGTCTGCAAGCTGACCTATGTGAGTGCCTCCCGAGGGCTGGGCCGAGCCTTGGCCTCAGCCTCCGCCTGCCAGGCTCAATGTGTATTCCACATCTGTCCACCGTCCCGCTGCCCGTGTGTGTGTGTGTGTGTGTGTGTGTGTGTGCGCGCGTGCGTGCGCCTGCCTGCCTGCCGTCCATCCACCTGTCACACTCACTGCTACCATCTGCCAGGGTGCCAACTCCAGGTCAGGCTGTGATGATGACACAGCTGGCGTGCCTGGGGTGCTGGGGGTGGCGGGGTGCTGGAGGCCCGCCCTCCAGGAAGGCCTGGAGCCCAGCGGGTGAGCCCAGGCTCTGCGCTGCCAGGCTCCCTCCCGGGCTGCAGTTGCTGCCCATGGTGTGAGCTGGGGCTGTGCCCATCCTCCCACCTGCTTCCTCCTCAGAGATAGGGAGGGCTTGTCCCAGCAGCCCCCAGGAAGGGCACTTGTGGACCCAGCTGTTGCCCGGAGCCCAGTGTCGTGGGTGGGAGTTCCGTGTCTCAGTTGCCGGCATTTGTTGCCTTGTAGAGTTGTTGTTGGCCTGTCCCTGTGGATTCTGAGTGTCAGATGGTGCAGGAGCCTAGGGTGTGTGTGGGTGCCCTTGGTGGCTGAGCTGACTGGAGCGCACGTCCGTTAAGGTGGCTCCCTTTGTCCCCGCTTTGGCGTGTGAGTAAGAGTTCCCGTGCCTCCTTCTTAACAGTTGCAAATGTTAGGGTACGACATCAGCTGGGCTGCCTTCAACATCGTCGAAGTCATGAGCGCCTCCAAGTTCACCTTCAAGGTGGGTACGGGTGGGCGTGGGCGGGGGGCATCCTCCACACCAACATCCCCTGGGGCCAGGCGCCAGGCTGCCAGGCGAAGTGTCAGCTTCCCGAACCCCAGCTTCACGCGCACCCCAGGTGGTGAGCGTGGGTCCTGGAGGGTTTACTTGTCTTAAAAAAATCCTCAGGGCTGAGGGGCAGCTCAGGGTGAGGCCTTGCTTGGCATGCGCGAGGGCCTGGGTCCGCCGGTACTGCTCGTCAGCAGCAAGCCCGAATCTACCCTTGGGCATTTATTGACCCATTTTGTGCCGTTGTCCAGATGTGGAACACCTGTGAGAACTCAAATGGAGCAGGAGATGTACCATTTAGGGTGACCTTGAAATAATACTGGAGTGTTGCTTCCATTTGCAGAATTGAAAACTTGGGACTTTCATGGGTTAAAGGAAACATATTTCAAAAACAAAAAGAAAAAAAAAGAAATAACAAAACTAATAATGACCTACCTGTCTCAGTTCCAGTGGCTTTCTCCATGCAACCGTCACCCCCCAAGTTGTTGATTTATTAAATACCATCTATGTAAAGCTTTTCTTTTCATTTAAAATAATGTCAACAAATGTTGATTTTGTTAAGCCTGAACTGAGTGTACATTTTAGATGACAAGTTAAATTTATGACCCTTAGAAAAAATCAACAGTTAATCTCCTTGTCTCAAGATCACTCCATTACCCTGTCCGTGTGCCTCTTAGACATTTTCTTCTTTTTTTCCCCTGTTACTGGGGATTGAACCCGGGGTGCTCTACTGCTGAGCCACATCCACAGTCCCTTTTTAAATTTTTATTTTGAAGACAGGGTCTCGCTAAGTAGCCCAGGCTAGCCTTGAACTTCTGACCCTCCTGCCTCGGCCTTCCAGGTTGCTAGGATCACAGGTGTGTGCCACCACACCCAGCCAATTTATTGGTTGATATTTCTTGTGGTCCTGGGGATGGGACTTGGGCTTCACACATGCTCAGCCAGCGCTCTCACTGAGCCATGCAGCCCCTCACCCCAGGAACTGGGGTGGAGAAATGAAATGCTCTGTTTGTCAAAGCTGACGTGGTCGCCCATACACGTGTATCTAAAGCATTCTCTGCATTTGTGAGTGTGACCCTGGGCATCCTCTGCAGCCTGCTGAAGAGGGGCCTGGGTCATCACCAAACCCAGGACTTCCTGCCTCATTTCCGTGGCTCAGCGGCTCCATTGCAATCAGAGCGCAGGCAGGGCCTGGCAGCCTGTGGAGGAACGTGTTTCCAGACCAGGAGCTCCCACCCACCTGGGCGCCTCCTTGAGCTGTGTGGAGGCCTGGTGTGGCCTGGCGCTCGCGCCCCAGCCCCCAGCACCTGGACAGAGGACACACTGCTGGCTAGAGTCTCCAGGAGGCTTCCTCGTGTCTCTGACGTGCTGTCGCTTGACCCCCACAGCGCATCGGCTACCTTGCTGCTTCCCAGTGTTTTCACGAAGGCACAGATGTCATCATGCTGACAACGAACCAGATACGCAAGGTGGGCACTCACCCCGGCCACGCTGGCCCTCCTGCCTCCTGTGCGACGCGGAGAAAGCCCAGAGGGTGGCTCCTCCAGCGAGCAGGCTTGGCCTCGGCAGACCTGGCGCTCGTGGGCCTGGCAGGACACCCCTGTCTTGTCTCCTCCGCTCGGTGCTGGACGCGAGCTCCGGCAGCTCCAGGGGTGCACTTGGAGACGGGCCTTGTGGCACCGGCCCTTTCCTGCTCCCCTCCTACGGCCCCTGCCAGTGGGCGCTTTCTCCCATGTTGGTTTTTTGGGTGGTCCAGGAGTGTGAACCTCTACACTGAGCCATTACCCAGCCCTTTTATTTTTCATTTAGAGACAGAGTTTCACGAAGGTGCTTAGGGCCTCGCTAAGTTGCTGAGGCTGGCTTTGGACTTGCAATGGTCCAACTGTCCTGCCTCAGCCTCCTGAGCTGGTGGGTGATAGGTGTGGCCACTGTGCCGGGCTCCCCTGGGTTCTTTTAGGTTCTGTGAGGTCTGTACAGAGTTCTTACCTTTCTGGGATGGCCTTGAGACTACAGAGAAGACACTCCTCCCGGCCCTGGTGCTCCTGGCCCATGACGTGGCTGCAGGTGTGAGCACCTTGGAGGCCCACCCTCTCTGTGGGGCTGGCCCCGCCAGCTCCGACTGATATCAGAGGCTACAGATTCATGTTCACCGGGGCAAGGGCCGGACCCTGTAGGTGTTGTCACCCCTTCAGGGTACCCTGGACCATGGGGCAAGTGTGTGGTGCCATTGACGGCACAGCCTGAGGTGCGGGTCCCAGCAGAAAGGTCCTACTGAGCTCGTGGTGCAGGGGAGCCAGCTGTCACCATGGATGAGAGCAGAGCTACTAGGTGTGGCCTGTAGGGACTTCAGGGTCAGGCGCCCACGTGGGGCCAGGGCAGGTGGGGTTTTCTGCCAGGAAGAGGGTGTGGTTGCCAGATGGGGAAGGGGTGGGGTGCAGAAAGAGGGGGTGGGCTCTGTGTGCTTCAGCACGCCCCTGCCCCGCTCCGTCCTGACCAGGAAGCGTGCTGGGCTATGGGTCAGGCCTGCAGTGCGGGGAGCCCTGCGGCCTCGCTTTTTAAGTTTTCAATATACTTTTAGTTGTGGAGGAACATGATCTCATTGTTTGTTTATTTGCATGTGGTGCCGAGGATCGATCAGGTGCCGGCAAGTGCTCTCCACTGAGCCAGCCCCGCCCCTCCGGCCTCACTGTCTAGGGAGTCACTGTTGTCCCTGTGCTGTCCTGGCTCAGATGGAGTGCTTCCGTGCCGTGGCGGCCCATCTGCTGATGGGCACCCCGAACGTGTCCTGGATGTCCCCGCCCCTGTGCCTTTCTTTCCTCTCCTTTTCCTTTTCTTCTTCTTCTTCTTCTTCTTTTTTTGAGTGTAGGTTTTATTTAAGTGAAGAAAAAAGAGACAGAGCTCCCGCAGGTCCAGGGGACCCAAGGGATCACCTCCCCTGCAGTTTTTTTTTAGTGCTTTTAGTTGAAGATGGACACGGACCTTGATTCTATGTGTTTTATGTGGTGCTGAGGACGGAGCCCAGGGCCTCGCACACGAGGCTGTTGCTCTACCTCCGAGCTGCAGCCAGCCCTCCCCTGCTGGCTTAACGAGCCCAGGACTCTGAGAGCTCCTGGACCACAGGCCCAGGGCCCAGGAGGGCTGCTGCTCTGGGGCCGGGACCGGAGCCCAGTGGTCCTCAAGTGCCCTGTCCACAGGTCTCCCTTGCAGTAGGCCCCTCATGTCTGGTGCCCTCTGTGGCTCTTTGCTGAGTGAAGCTGCTCTAGGAGTCGGGCTCCTGGGGGGCCGAGGGCTGCGCCAGGGCTGCTGACGTGTCCCTACCGTGGAGGGTGGCTCTCGGCGCACCCCCGGCACATGCAGGCCCGGAGCCCCAGCCCCTTCAGCAGGTGGAGCCCCGGGCAGGCGAGTGGCGTCCAGAGCTCCCTGGGTGGGGGAGCGGCGCGCGTGGCGTAGTGAGGTCCTGGGAGCTGCCCTCGGCTTCCCTGGTGTGCAGCCTGGGGCCAGAGCTCCAGCAGGCGCCGGGCTTGCCCCTGGCTGTTCTGGGGGCAGGGCTGTGGCTCCAGGGCCTGGGGCAGGGCCGCCGGCCGGAGCGGCACAGGCACACTAAGCGGCTCCTCTCCCCTCTCAGGACCTGAGCAGCCCCAGCCAGTATGACACTGGAGTTGCGCTGACTGGCCTGTCCTGTTTTGTCACCCCAGATCTTGCCAGAGACCTGGCAAATGACATCATGACACTGGTGAGTTTCCAGCCCGCCTGCCAGCCCTTCCCTTTGTCCCGTGTTTGGGTGCCTGGAACTTGGGCTTAAGGTGTCCCACCCAGAAAGCTTGGCCGCGTGGAAACAGGTGAAGTGGTCCACGTGTGGCCTGGGTGAGATGGGAGCTCAGCTGCTGTCACCCCTGGAGGGACCTGCTCGGGGTCACTTGAGTCCCTGCGTTTCTGAGTTCAGCTTAAAAACGACCCTGCTGGCAAGAGGAAGCTGGGAGTCCAGTGTGTCAGGCCTGTGGGTCGCCTGTTTTCTTGCTGAGGTGTGTGCGGCCCTGGCCCTTCTCAGTGCCGGCCAGCTGCAGTGTGGTGAGGCCTCCCCTCTGCCCGGTGCTGTCCAGGTGTGGCTCTCCTCGGCACCGAGACAGCCTTGAAGCAAAGCCCTGTGGGCGCAGCCCCTGCATACTGGCCACACCGGGGCCTGTTCCTCCGTTTTCCACATCAGGGTGTGGACAGTGGCACCTCCCACCTGGTGAAGGTCATGTGTGGTCAGCCTTGACCACAAGAATGTGTGGGTGTCGGCTGATGGTCTCGGAGCTTGTTACGGCTGTCTTGGCTCCTAGATCAGGGTCAGCACACTGTGGCCCCAGGGCCAGATCTAGCTGGCTGCCTGTTGTCAACCAAGTTTTAAAAATAAATGACTGACTTGCCAGGCAGGATGGCAGTGCCTGCAGCCTCAGCTACATGGGCAGAAGGGCAAGAGGGTCACTTGAGCCATCTCAAAAAAGAGGAAAAAATAAAAACTGAATTAAGCCAGGTTCTGGTAGCACCTGGGCGTGCCCGTGCTGCTGTCCGGTCCAGGGCAGAGCCTCAGTCATGACAGAGGCCACCGAGCCCACAAGGCCGGAAATATCACCTCTGGGCCTTTCCAGATAGCTGGCTGGCCCGGAACTAGAGTGCTGGGAGCCACCCGCGGGGTGAGGGTCAGGGCCCTGGGCAGGGCGGGGTGGGTGATGGGGGAGCTTGTGTCGACCCTGGGTTCTCTCTGCAGATGTCACACACCAAGCCGTACATCCGGAAGAAGGCGGTGCTCATCATGTACAAGGTGTTCCTCAAGTACCCCGAGTCTCTGCGCCCCGCCTTCCCTCGGCTGAAGGAGAAGCTGGAGGACCCTGACCCCGGTGGGTACATTGCAGTCTGTGGGTGCTGCCAGGTCTCCAGGAATGTGCGAGGGCATGCTATCTGGGAGCATGTGGGTTTGTGGGGTGGTGATCCTAGTGGAAGCCCCTTGTCCCCTGTGTTGTGATGGCCACGGGACACAGTAGACAGCACCTGAGGCCCAGCCTGGCCTGGCAGGCAGGAAGCCCACTGCATCCAGCCGGCAGCGGGTACAGTTGAGCTTGGGGTGCTCCTGGGATCCAGGAAGGGGTGGGGAGCAGCTCGATGACCCTATCAGAGCAACCTGGTATCCTGCCCGGGCGCCACCTCCAACCTGGTGGCCTTGTGGCCAACATTTGCAATGTGGCCACTGAGGGATGCAGTGTTGAACTGTCATTTAGAACCCTATGATAGAGAACCCCTCACTGACAGGCAGTGAGGTCCGTTGTAGGTCTTTGGAGTACTTGAACCCCTAGAGGCCACACTTAGAGGTCAGGGGTGTGGAGCATGGGGACAAGGGACCGCTGGCAAGGGCCTTTACTGCTAAGCATCACCCGGGGGGCTCCAAGGGGTCTGGCTGGGGGATCAGAGCGTGTGGTGTGGGGAATCAGAGAGCACCAGACACTGAGGGTGCCTGGAGGTGCCTGAGGCTGTGAGGGCGTCCCTGGCACATCTGCACATCCCTGCGGGGTGTGGTCAGTGGGGCAAGTCAGGCAGCCTGCATCCGGTGTTCCACAGTGAGGTGGTCACCAGTGGTGGCTGTCCCAGGCAGAGGCTGGATGGACCTCACTGAGGAATTGAGAGCAGGCCCAGAACTGGGGACTGTCACAGGTGACCAAGTGCCTCCGGCCCAAGGGAGGCTGGGGTTCAGGGTGCACCCTCAGGAAACATAAGAGGTCGTGTGGAGGTCAGGGGCGTTTTATCAGGCTGCGTCTCATGGCCTTGGGCATAGAGGGCGAGGCCTGGTTCAGGAGAGAACACCCACCCCTGGCACAGACTCCCATCCCGTGGGGCAGAGCGGGAGCACGGAGCTGAGCCACCTCCCCCTGGACTGAAGGCTGGTAGGTCCAGTCCCTCCCTCCCTCCACCAGAGCGGAGGCCAGAGGCTGCACTGGAGTGTCCTGGGTGTGTGCCACGTAGTGGAGTGCAAGACTCTGGGCCACCCCACTGCATGCTGATGCTGGGGACCATGGACCCTACTCTTTTCTCAGAGTACCTCTGTGCTCCTGTCCCTGTCACCAGGGCAGGGGCAGAGCTAGGGCCACACTCTGAGTTCTAGTTTGGTGGGAGCACTGAACCTCAGAACTTTTTCTCTGGGGCTGGGGCTGGGGCTCAGAGGCAGAGCACTCGCCTAGCATGCATGGGGCATGGGTTCCATCCTCAGCATCACATAAATGCAAAATAAAGATATTGTGTCCACCTAAAACTTAAGAATAAATATCAAAAAAAAAAAAAAGAGAGAGAACTTTCTCTTTGGTCATAAAGACTGGGCCATGATTTTTCAAAGCAGGAAGGGGTGTTTTTTTGGGGGGGTATTGGGGACTTAACCCAGGGTGCTTTACCACTGAGCTGTGTCCCCTGCCCCTATTATCTGGCTGGCCTGGAACTTGCGATCCTCCTGCCTCAGTCTCCCAAGTGGCTGTGCAGACAGGTGTGGCCATCATGTCCACTCATTTTCTTTCTTTTTGTTTTTCTGCTCTTTTCTTTTTTATGTTTTTGTTTGTTTGCTTTAGTTGTAGAAGGATACAGTACTTTTTATTTTATTTATTTATCTGTTTGTTTATTTTATGTGGTGCTGGTGCTGAGGATGGAACCCAGGGCTCATGTGTGCAAGGCACGGGCTCACCACTGAGCCACACCCAGCCCTGGTCTTCTGCTTTTTTTTTTTTTTTTTTTAAAAAGAGAGAGAGAGAGAGAGAATTTTAACATTTATTTTTTAGTTTTCAGCGGACATAACATCTTTGTTGGTATGTGGTGCTGAGGATCGAACCTGGGCTGCACGCATGCCAGGCGAGCGCGCTACCCCTTGAGCCACGTCCCCAGCTCATCTTGTGCTTTTTTTGAAAGTTAAAAATTTCAAAAACCCTTTTTTCGGGGGGATATCAAGGATTGAACTCGGGCACTGAGCCACATCGCAGCCCTATTTTGTATTTTATTCAGAGACAGGGTCTCACTGAGCTGCGTAGGGCCTTGCTGTCGCTGAGGCTGGCTTTGAACTCGTGATCCTCCTGTCTCAGCCTCCTGAGCTGCTGGAATGACAGGTGTGCACCACTGCATTGAGCTCAAATGTGTTTTTTAAATACTGTCAGATTCATAGAAACACGGAAGAAGTACCACAAAGAATTCTGACCCGTGTGCCCTTCCCTCAGCTTTTACAAACCCTCTGTCAGGGTCTTCAGCGTGAAGCCTGTTGAAACAGGAGCGCCCCTTGGTCCCATGCACCAAGTGCTGATTCGCTCCTTGGGCCTGGCTCCAGCACCTGCCTCAGAGGAGGGGCCTGCCCCCAAGTCTTTCTGCCACCTGATGCCAGCCACACCTCTGACTAGCGACACATTTGGGGGCTCCCACACCCTCACGTTCTACCCTTTGTTAGCACACTCCCGTGCAGCCAGGCCTCAGCACCCTAGGCACCCCTGCTCCCAGCCAGAGGCCCAGAGCCCCAGGGCAGGGCCCTCTGGGGCCCCTTAGCACACAGACCCAGAATGTGCATGTTGTCCACACCACACTGCAGTCCGCTGTGGCAGTGCTGGCTGGTCCTGTGCCTGTGCAGTCCACGAGCGGGTCCTCAGATGGCCAGCGCCAGCCTTGCGACGCTGGGTTCCCGTTAGCCAGGACAGCCCAGTGGACAGGACACTCTTGTAGACGGGATGGGCCCTTGAGGACAGGATGCTCTATGCTGTTGATGTGGGTGCCCTCTTGGTCCTCAGGGGTCCAGTCTGCGGCCGTCAACGTCATCTGTGAGCTGGCTCGACGAAACCCCAAGAACTACCTGTCCCTGGCCCCCCTCTTCTTCAAGCTGATGACCTGCTCCACCAACAACTGGGTGCTCATCAAGATCATCAAACTGGCAAGTGCCCCCTGGGGTGTCTTCTGGCCCTCAGGGCCGCTTGAGCTGGCAGTGACACACCCCTCTATCCCCACAGTTTGGAGCCCTGACCCCTCTGGAGCCAAGGCTGGGCAAGAAGCTGATTGAGCCTCTCACCAACCTGATCCACAGGTAGGCCTCCCCTTGCATGCCCGGCTCATGGCTCCCAGAGCAGGAAGCCAGGCCCCGACCACCCTCATGCCATCCTGGGCCGTAGGTCCACCTTCCTGAGGAGGAAGGACTCGGGGAGTGTACCTTAGGCAAGTGCCTTGGCGCCTGAGGGGTCCCCTCTGTCTGTACTGCAGCAGTGGACATGGCCCGGCTGTGCCTGGACATGGCCCTGCTGTGCACACTCAGGCAGCTCTGGCTTCTGATCTGTGGCGCTGTGCCAGCTGGTGGGCCCTGCACCCTGGACTCTGGCCTGTGGCCTTCTCTGCTTGGGCTTCTGTGGTTTGGGCTTGACACAGCACCGTGTCAAGAGTAGAGCAGACTCCTGCTGCCCGCCCACCCCTCACCTGTCCTCCCAGGGCCCATCTTGTTTGTCCAAAGTCCTGGCTACTGTGCTGGCCACAGCTCAGGAAGGGAGAGGGTGGAGTGGCCAGAGCTAACCTCCCGAGGGCCGGCCATGGGGCCTCTGCTGGCCATGTGTGCTGACCTGTTGCTCTCCTCGGGGTGCCAGGTGGTACTGTGCGATGCTGGAGGAGGTAGTTGGGGACACTCTGTGGGCACCACAGGGTTCACTGGGTGCCGAGCAGAACCCCAACCTTCCAGACCTGGTCACCTTTATTTATAAAAGCAGTACCTTTGTCCTTTGCACCAGCAGAGTGGCTAGGTGTGGCGGGAGCCTGTGGCTGTGCATCCGGATCCCTGCTGGTCTCAGAAACCCAGGCTGCTCCATGGTGCTCCCTGGGGACTCTAACTGCACTGTTGGCTAACTGTGTTTGTTTAAAGCCAAGAAAGGAAGCCTCAAGCCCAGCAGAACTCACCAGAATCTTCAGTTACATGTGTGCTCTGTTTGTAATGAAACGAGCAGGAGAGGGCGGTGAGCTGGGCCCTGAGGTGAGGCCAGGGGGGTGACTCCTGGTAGCCGTCACAGTGTGGCTGGGCTGGCAGCAGTGCTCTCCCTGTGAGGCCTCCAGGGCAGTGCCCCCACCTGATGTCTGGGGCGACTCCCGGACCTTGTCCTCATGCTGTTCCTCTTCCTCCCCAGCACGTCCGCCATGTCCCTTCTGTACGAGTGTGTGAACACCGTGATCGCAGGTGAGCCCACGTCATCTCCTCTGGGGGGTGCTGCCAGGCTAGTGTGAGGGTGCCAGGCCCGCCCCTGGGTGTCTCCCTTGCTGAAGCTCAGGAAGGGAGACGGCGGAGTGGCCAGAGCTAGCCAGGCCCACGAGGCCTCCCCTAGAGTCAGGTGGCCCACTGTCCCCTTGACCCTGGCGTCCATGAAGGTCTCTGAGGTAGCTCATAGCCCGGCCCTCTTTGGAAATGTGGGGTTTCCCATCTAAGGGGACAGAGCCCAGTTACCCAGCCCCTGTCACCTGGGATCGGCACCCTGCTGCTCCAGCCCTCCTCAGGCCCCTCCCACAGAAGGGACCCAAGGTTTCATGCGTTTTGTCTGTGGATACTGAAGTTTGGTTTCACAGGTTGCATAGGGTGGTAGGGGCTGAGCCGTGGCTTGGTGATGCGCGCTCGCCTGGCATGTGTCCGATTCTCAGCACCACATACAAATAAATAAAATAAAGATCTAGCAAAAAAACCAACTCTGCACAGGATGGGGCCAGCGCTCCTCACACCTGGCCAGGCTGGAGGGACCGGATGCTGTGCGTGCCCAGTTGTCTTGTGCCCCTTGGGGTTGTGTGTCTGACCCAGCACTTGCGCGTGGCTGCCCAGCTGGATGCCCTCCAGCCTCCCCTGCTGCTCCTTGTTGGAGGAGCAGAGCTCTTGCCACTGCTTGGCGCCCTGTGTCTCTTGCAAACTGGTCGTTAAACCTGGTGGCCCATGAGAATCGAGTCTCGGTGCCCACCTAGTGGGGTGCCCTGGGCGGGGGCAGAAAGCTCTGGTGTTGGCTGTGGTGCCGGTGGCCGCCTCCCACACTCCTGAGGTGATGTCATAAGACACTGACGCGCATTCCGTGCTGGCAAGAGGAGAAGTGGGGCCACACCTCGGACAGGGAGGGCCAGAGGGCATCGGGGTGAGGCATAGGCAGACGGGGGAGGGGGGAATTTGGCCAAGGAATCGAGTGGCCCTGACAATGAGGTGGGGAGTTCCGGCTGCAGGAGGGGCCTGGCGTGCCTGGAGCAATGGCTCTTGGGTGATTGTGCTGGAGTCAGGACAGGGCCATGGCCTGACACTGTGGAACTTCCCTGGATGGGAGTGACTGATGCCCTTCGGGCTGTGATCTACTTTTTTGGTTCATGTGATTACAATTGGCCAAGGGCAAGACCAGGACCAAGGGCAGCCTAAAGTCACAAACAAGATCAGGGGTTCAAAGACCCCCAGGCCTGGCGCCTGCTGGGGTCCCCAGGTCTCAGCAGGTCTCAGCACGGGCTGTTCTCCCAGCTGCGGTTCTTAGTGATAGGACCCAGAGCAGAGTCAGAGGTGGGAACCGCATGTGGGGGCACTTGGGGACCAGACAGGGCCTCCAGAGTCTCCTCCCAGGGAGTCCCACAGGGTGCACTTGGTCCCCACAACTCACCTGTGGAAAGTCACTGAGAGCTCACAGAGACCCAGCGCCTGGGGTCAGTGGGGGACACGCGGCCCCTCTGCCTGGCGCGTGCTGAGATCCCAGATCCAGAGGCGCCCAGGGGCTGAGCAGAAGCCACACTGTTGGCCCCACGGCTCAGGCCCAGGAGCTCCTCCTGTCACGGGGGGTGGAGTCCCCAGGGCCCGGTCCCCAGACGCTCAGGCCAGCCTCAGCCTCAGGCTGTGGGGTGGGCTCTGGGGTGGGCTGTGGGGTGGGCTCTGGGCTGCTCAGAGCTGCTGAGCCTAGTGGTTCCCAGGGCAGCAGCCCTGCTTGTCAGCACCCCCTGGGCTAGGGCGGGTGTCAGGACTCCGCTGCTGGCCGTGGGTGACGTGCCTGTCTGTTGCAGTGCTCATCTCTCTGTCCTCTGGCATGCCCAGCCACAGTGCCAGCATCCAGGTACGTGCCAGCACCCTGCTCTGGGGTGGGCTCTGCCCGTCCTCACCCTCACCCACCCGTGTGCCCACTCCCAGCTTGGGCCTGTGCACCTTTGTAGTGCACACGGGGGTGTCGAGGGAACTGTGGCCCTGTGTTCCCAGTGACAGGCAGAGCTGCTGCAGTCTGCCCCCGAGCTAAATCAACAGCGGAGCTCCCTGGGGGCTCTTGGCACCTGCTGCACCCGGGGTGTCCCTTTCTTGTCACTTAGAAGATGGCCATCCTGCTGCTGAACTCCCCCTAATCCCTGTAGTCATGGGCCCGTGGCCCAGTGCCTCGGAGCTCTGGGCTGCCGGGCCCCTGGCTGACCTGGGGATCACTGGGTAGTCACCTCAGGTCTGTCTTGGTCCCTGAGGTGAAGGAGGCCACTGTGTCCCAGCCCTTTCCCAGAGGCCCCATCCTGCTGGCGCACGTCTGCTGGCCCATGAGGGTCTCTTGCTGGCAGGGTCCATGTGGTCCGTGCTGGCTTGCCTGCCCTGGTGCCTGCAGACCCATTGCCATCCTGCGGAGCAGGCCCTTGGAGAAGGGCCCTGGCCTCAGGGGAGGCGGGCAGCTTGGTGGGATGGGGGTAGGGCGGGCCGCCTCAGCCAGGGTCACCCTGCTGTGGAGACGGAATCAGGTGTCCTCTTTGCAGCTCTGTGTTCAGAAGTTAAGGATCCTGATAGAAGACTCGGATCAGAACTGTAAGTCGCCCCTCCTCCAGGCTCTGTTCCTGCTTTCCAGACTCTGGGGAGCGAGGCCTCTGGAGCCTTAGAAGAGGGGTGGGGGTTGTGGAGGCCAGGGGTCCTGCACAGACTCTGTGAACAGACCAGCACCAGCGTCAAGACAGATGCTGCCCCTTCTCCGGGCCTGGGCAGCACTCCCCTGGACCTGTGTGCTCGGGCCAGGCCCTCCGGTGGCTCTGTGGGCTGTGCCCTGTGCACTTGTCTGCAGGCTGACAGCTGCAGCCCAGCCCAGGGAAGCAGAGGGGCCATGTTGCAGGTAGTGAGAGATTCCACAGGTGGGCAGAGCCAGGGGAGGCTGGGTCGTCTTCAATAGGACAGGTGGCATGGGCTCCCAGGGCTGTGGCCATGATGCCTTTCTGCTGCCCGCACTGTCCCTGGGGCTTCTGTTGAGGAATCTGGCTCAGTGGTACCATGTGGCACCTGGGCTCAGATGATTCCCTAGGGCTGGGGTTGTGGTCCCCAGGTCTCTGTGGCTCTGCTCATCTCTGCTGTGGCTCAGGCGGGCCCTGGGCAGTGAGACCTCACCACAGCAGCAGGCTGCAGGCCCGTGCCCATGGACAGGCTGCTGTTTGCAGCTCCGGTTTCTGTTTTGTTCTGCTGGTCCCAGGGACTGGACCCAGGAGTGCCCAACCACTGAGCCACGTCCTCAGCCCTTCCTATTTTTTATTTGGAGACAGGGCCTTGCTAAGTAGCTAAGGATGGTGTTGAACTTGTCCACGTCCTGTCTCTGCCTCCCAAGCTCCTGGTTTAGTTGGCGTGTTCGCCCCATGGCCTCAGGCTTGGCCTCTCTCTTCTCCATGGCCAAATGTGGGCCAGTCAGGTGTGGGCAGTAAACACCAGGGCCTGTGGGCACTGGATGGGGCACAAATCCCTGTGCTTCCTGATGGGCATGGGAGCGTAGGCGACATTTGTCGTGGATGGAGAGTAATGGCTGCTAGAACTGGAGGGCAGGTGGGGGTTGCGAGTTCCTCCCCTGTCCCGCTCAGAGGCCCCTCTCCCGTGGACTGTGCAGAAGGCCCTTGTGTCGTGTTGTGGAGCCTTGGCCCTGTCTCCTGGGGAGGGCCACAAAGCTGGGAGGTGCTGCCAGGTCGACGAGGCATCACGTTCTCTCTCCATGGCTGACGGCTCCCATCTCCCCCCAGTGAAGTATTTGGGGCTGCTGGCCATGTCCAAGATCCTGAGGACGCATCCCAAGTCTGTGCAGGCCCACAAGGACCTCATCCTGCAGTGCCTGGATGACAAGGACGAGTCTATCCGGCTGCGGGCGCTCGACCTGCTCTACGGGATGGTGCGCCTCAACCTTGTGCCAGCCCCGGGGGCACATGGGGCTCACGGGCCCTGGCAGGGTTAGATGGTGGCCAGGGGCCTGTCTGGATTTCGGGCATGGTGGGGACAGGCTCTGGGTGAGCCGCTGTGTGCCAGCTGGGCTTCCTCCTTGGCCCCTGTCCTGGGGGGAGGCTGCCCAGTGTCGACTGCGGATTCCGCTGGGTTGGGGGAGTGCATGCCTGTTAAGTGCAGACCCTCGCCTTCCCCCGCTAGGTGTCCAAGAAGAACCTGATGGAGATCGTGAAGAAGCTGATGACCCACGTGGACAAGGCCGAGGGCACCACCTACCGAGACGAGCTGCTCACCAAGATCATTGACATCTGCAGCCAGTCCAACTACCAGTACATCACCAACTTCGAGTGGTCCGTGCCCACGCCTCCCTGGTGTCCTGCATGGGCTGGTGCTTGTGGTCCCTGGGGCGCCTCTCACGGGCTCTCCCTGCAGGTACATCAGCATCCTGGTGGAGCTGACCCGGCTGGAGGGTACCCGCCACGGCCACCTCATCGCTGCCCAGATGCTCGACGTGGCCATCCGCGTGAAGGCCATTCGCCGGTTTGCAGTGTCACAGATGTCCGCCTTGCTGGACAGCGCCCACCTGGTGGCTAGCGGCACTCAGCGGAATGGGATCTGCGAGGTGCTCTACGCGGCTGCCTGGATCTGCGGGGAGTTCTCGGAGTGAGTGGGGCAGGCAGTGGACACCGTGAGCCTCAGGGATACCGGGATGTACCAGCATAGCCGTCCCCTGGCTGTCTTGCCGTGCCCGCCTAGCTCGACCTTCCGCTGAAGTGTGGGTTTGTCATCAGCTGGGACTTGGGAGTTGCCACAGAAATCTGTATACCTGATAGGATCACTGCTGCCCTGTTGCCCCTGCAGGGTCCTGTCCCTGTCCCCACAGCCCCTGACCACTCTCTGCCCAACCCCCATGGCACTGTTTGCGCTGCCCTGGGCCTGGCAGCTCAGCGAGGGTGCCTCACCTCTGGACTCCCAGGAAGGGCCGCGGCCCACAGACGTGTGGTTCTGCCATTTCTCATGGGGGGAAGGTTTGATCGCGGGAGGGGACGCAGACAGCGAGCCAGGGCGCGGGCCGGGCCTGGCCTGTCTCCGTGATTGCTGGGCACTTCCGAGTTTCCCCTTGTGGCCCAGGAACTTCCCAGGTGGCCAGTCCCTAGGGCGTGGCTTCTCTTTCCTTTGCACGTCTCTCTTCTTGGCTGCGCTCTGAGCGTCCTGTCTGGGCCGTGGTCTGTCGGCTGTGTCCCGTGACATGCCATTATGGTTCCTGGTTCTTCAAGTCCGTCTCAGCCCTGCTGCTGGCCCAGGGAGTGGAGCTCTCCGTGTGGCCCTGGGAGGCGCGAGCCCTTTCCGGCTTCTCCCTGTATGCATGCGTGGCTCCCCTCACTGTGGCTGTGTCCCCCAGGCACCTGCAGGAGCCCCACCAAACACTCGAGGCCATGCTGCGCCCCAAGGTCACCACGCTGCCTGGCCACATCCAGGCTGTGTACGTGCAGAACGTGGTCAAGCTGTACGCATCCATCCTGCTGCAGAAGGAGCAGGCAGGGGAGACCGAGGCTGCCCAGGAAGTCACCCAGGTGATGGTGGAGCGGCTGCCCCAGTTTGTGCAGAGCGCAGACCTGGAGGTGCAGGAGCGGGTAAGGCTGGAGTTGGGGGAGGGTCCAGCCCCGGGAAGAGCCCTGCACAGCCTTGAGGGTGTCTGTCCCTGGCAGTGGTCAGGTTGCAGGGAGTCTTATCCCTTTTCAAAGCTCCCTGGTGAGACCCCTGTTGTGGCTTTCCCAGTTGGGGCTCAGGGAGGACAGTAGGACATGGCCACCTTGGAGGTGGCCACCAGGTTCCAGGGGCATCTGCTGCCTCGTGTGGGAGCCGGCTACTTGAGTGCTGGCACACCAGGACGACGAGGTGTGGATGGCGGCCCAGGCGTGGGGTCCAGTGGGGGGCCTGCAGTGCCGTCCAGTGCGGGCAGTCAGCCCTGCTGGGCCAGGTGTGCAGCGCCTGCCTGATGGCCAAGGAGGCCTAGCCAGGGTGTACTTGAGACTTCTACACAGACGTGTGCCCTGGCGTTGACAGGGCCAGCTGTGTCCCTCAATGTCCCTCCAAGAGAGCCCAAGCTGTCTTGTCCATCCGTGTCCCAGCCTGAGCTAGAGGTGGTGCAGCTGGGCTGTCACAGGGCCCCCCGGGAGGCAGCGTGGCTGTCTGTGGGCACTTTCACTGACAGCGAAGCCCCCTTTTGTCACCATCCCCACACCTTAAAGAGACAACTGTGGAGACGGGTGGGTATCTGGCCAGTGGCTTCCCACAGGGAGTGGGCAGGCCTTACCAGCCCCGGGGGCCGGGCCACCCCAGGGCCCTGTGTCACCGCTGTTCCTTTCCTAGGCGTCCTGCATCCTGCAGCTGGTCAAGCACGTGCAGAAGCTACAGGCCAAGGGTGTGCCTGTGGCGGGAGAGCTCAGTGCCCTCTTTGCTGGGGAGCTAAACCCAGTGGCCCCTAAAGCCCAGAAGAAGGTCCCGGTGCCCGAAGGGTGAGCACCCAGGGAGCAGGGGGCAGGGCGCATGGCGAGTCTGACTGGCCTTGGGGGCCGGCATGCACCCTGGGAAGGAGGGGCGCAGGGGGGTGACGGCGGGGGGCTGTGTGGCTGGTGGGGTGTGGCAGCCTAGGCCACACTGGGCAGGGCTGGCTGTGCCTCTCCCTGTCTCCCCTAGACTGAGAGTGGCCTGAGCTGCTTTGGGTCCCCAGGGCACAGGGTCAGTGCCAGATGGCAGGGTCACCTGGCTCCTGGCCCTGCTCTGGCTTCCCACCTCTGGCCTCTTTCCTGAGGGGCAGCGGTTCCTTGCCTCGTCTGGCCTGTGGGGATGGCGGGTGCTGGTGTTCAGGGCTGCCACCGGCTGGACACGCGGCCCCCACTGCTCAGGTGCCGCAGTGGCCGCCGCAAGGGTGGCTGTGCCATGACCTCCCTGTCTGCACAGCCTGGACCTGGACGCCTGGATTAATGAGCCACCCTCGGACAGTGAGTCTGAGGACGAGAAGCCCAAGGCCATCTTCCACGAGGAGGAGCAGAGGCACACTCGGCGCCGGCCGCCCGAGGTGGACGAGGAGGAGCTGGCCCGGGTGAGTATGTCAGGGGCGGCCCTCGAAGGGCTCTCTGAGAGACAGGTGTCCCTTTCAGCACAGGCTCCCAACAGCCAGTCCTCCGGTTGGCCCTGTCAGACCAGGAGGCCGTGTCCAGCTGTCCTCCTAGGGGCACTGAGTGGACAGTTGATGTTAGGGTTGGGCTTTGACTGCCCACGGGCCACCTGGTGGCCTCCTTTGTCCTGAGCTTATACTCCCACCTCATCCTCTTCCATGGGGGCAGGAGCCGACCTCTCACAAGCCCTTCTCCACCTGCACCCTGTGCTCAGGGTGAGCTTCCTGGGTGAGAGCTGGGGACAGGCCAGCACGACGGGGTCTCTGTCCTGGCGCTGCCCCAGGAGCTGGGCGCTCTAGGCCAGGCGCTGCCCGTCTCTGAGCACTTCTCTCTCTCCACTGCCCCGCTTGGGCCATGGTTTCCTTGTTGGTAAAACTGACAGTAAGAAAAACGGGTCAGCTTCCCACGGGGTTTGGGGGCCCTTGGATCTGGCCCAGTGCCTGGACGCCCCGCTGTGTTCCACTTGTGTCCATGTGTCTTGTGTCTACAGCGCCGGGAGGCCCGGAAGCAGGAGCAGGCCAACAACCCCTTCTACATCAAGAGTTCTCCATCCCCACAGAAGGTGAGGCTGGGCCCAACAGCCTCCCTGTCCTGGGAGCACACTTCCCGTGGGATAGTGGACCGCGTCCTGTAGGCTGCTCAGGGAGGGCCACAGGCTGCGGGACTCCGACGGGGCCAAGGGAGGGTGCAGAGCTGAGGCCTCTGGATGGGAAGGGTGCCCATCATGTGGTCCTTCTGGTGCTGCAGGAAAGGGGGTCTCACCCCCCTTCAGCGTGCCCAGCTGTCCACAGGAGGCGCTGGTCTCGCGGGCAGCTCCTGGAGTGGAGTGGGTCCTCGGTGACTGTAGAACCTTGAGGAGCTGCTGGGCTGTTTCAGTGGGCCACTTGTGTCTGCTTGGTCCTGGCCACCCTGGGGCTGTGGGGGTCCTTGCTTTGGGCTTAAGCACATGTCACCGTTCAGTTTGGGGGAAAGTTGCAGAGGGAAAGTAGGCGAGAATTCTGATTTCTGTGACCTCATATGTGACCAGACCTCCCGTCTGCAGGAAGACGCACAGCTCAAAACGAGCTGGGCTCCTGCCCCTGGTCCCTGGGGTGGGCTCTCCTCACACGTGCCCACCACCCCCAGACCCCCACAGCGTGCCGCTGACGCCATGAATTGCTCTTCCAGAGATACCAAGACGCGCCAGGCGTGGAGCACATCCCCGTAGTGCAGATCGACCTCTCGGTTCCGTTGAAGGTCCCAGGCAAGTGTGCTGGTTTGCAGGTGACACATGTCACATGGGCCGGGGGTTTCCCGCTGACCCCCGCAGAGTCCCCCACTCATCCCTGGGCTGCCCACGAGGCTGGCTCCTGTCGTGGATGGGTGAAGTGCGTGGCTCGGGCTGAGTGCGCGCCCCACAGGGCTGCCCACGTCAGACCAGTACGTGAAGCTGGAGGAGGAGCGCAGGCACCGGCAGAGGCTAGAGAGAGACAAGAAAAAGAAGAGGAGGAAGGAGAAGGAGAGGGAGAAGAAGGGCAAGCACCGCCGCCACAGCTCACTGCCCACGGAGAGCGAGGAGGACATCACCCCTGCCCAGCAAGTGGACATTGTCACCGAGGAGATGCCTGAGGTGAGCCCCGCCTACCAGCACAGGGACGCCACATCCCTGCCAGAGCTCCAGCCTCCCCTGCTGCTGTCTTCCTGGGTGTGAGGGTGGCCACCAAGTCAGCGCTGTCCTGTGTGCCAGAGAGAACAGTGTCCACCTCACACCTGCCTCATGAGGCCAGAGCCCCTTCTGTGGCCTCCCTGGGGGTATGTGTCTACCCCGTGACCCTGCAGCCCGGGCGCGTGGCTCTGGTGTCCTCCCCTGTAGAGACGTGGCACTGCTTGCTGTGGGTGGCCTCGTGGGGGTGGACCTGACTCTTCAGGCAGGTCTGCTATCTCGGGCTGGATTCCGCCAGGCCCTGCAGTTGCTGGTTAACTGGATGCTGAGTTCCTCTGTTCCCCCAGAATGCATTGCCCAGCGACGAGGATGACAAAGACCCCAACGATCCGTACCGGGCCCTGGACATTGACCTGGATAGGTGAGCAGGGGGTCAGCTTGCTGGTGCCCTGCGGGCTGCAGTCAGGCTGGGTTCTGCAGTGTGATGGGTGGGCCCTCCAACCCCCAGCACCCAACCAGCGTCCTCAGCTGCGAGCCCGCTCCCAGGGACCTGGCAGGAGAGCACACGGCCTTCACAGATGTCAGGGAGAGACGGGGCAGGCCCTTTGGAGGCCAGGTCAACCAGGCCTTTCTTGGGTGCTGGGACGGGAGTAGCACCCCCCACTCTGTGACCTTGCAGGACCACATAGTGCTGGCAGCACCATGGGGCTCGCTGCACCTCATGACCTCATGCTTCCCCCCCAAGGCCCTTAGCCGACAGCGAGAAGCTTCCCATCCAGAAACACAGAAATGCGGAGGCCTCAAAGTCACCCCCAAAAGAAGACGTTCCTGTGGTAGAGAAGAAGAGCAAGAAGCCTAAGAAGAAGGAGAAGAAGCACAGAGGAAGGGAGAGGGAGAAGAAGGAGGAGGAGGAGAAGGTACGCTGGCTGGCTGGCTCGGCCTCCCCGCAGCCCCAAGGTTGTGGGCAGCGGGGCAGCCGGCATTAGCAGGGAGTGGCCCTCAGAGTCAGGCTCAGGCCATGGAGGTGGGGACCTAGTGCAGGACCTCACTGATGCAGGGCGAGCAGGAGTGACAGTGAGAGGCGCCTGTGTCCAGTCCTGGGAGACCTGCTGCCACCCAGGCAGGGTGCTGCTCAACGCCCCGCGTGGGCATCCACGTAGAAAATGGGTGGGGTTTTGTTTTTGTGGTACCGCGGCTTGAACCCGGGGCCACTTAACTGAGCCACACCCCAGCCCTTTTCTATATATTCTTTAGAGACAGGGTCTTGCAGAGTTGCTGTGTGCCTCACAGTCTGCTGAGGCTGGCTTTGAACTTGTGATCCTCCTGCCCCAGCCTCCCAAGGTGCTGGGACTACCAGCCTGGCCTCTGCTCTGCGCCTGGTTAAAGTGGGCGGATTCTGAAGGACTTGGGCGTGGGCCACCTGCCGCCCTTCACAGCTGACAGCCGGGGCTGTGGGCTTCTGCATCTGGGCCCTTGGAAGTGGAGCACGTCTGGACGTGGGTCCTCCTGGGCCTTAGAGCAAGAGCCAGAGCGGGGCTGTGCCTGCTCCTGTGTGCCAGGAGCTGCAGGGCAGACAACTCTGGGCCCTGGAGGGCAAGGCCAGCGCCCTCAGCCCTGCTGGCCCTGTACCCTCCCCCATGGCCCATCCCGCTTTTGCTAACAACCTGTCTCCTGTGGTTTCAGGGCGAGGACTTGGATTTTTGGCTGTCCACCACCCCACCGCCTGCCACTGCCCCTGCCCCGGGCCCATCTGTGGTAAGAGGCTGATGGGGTCTGTGCTGTCCCTGACGTGTCTGCAGGTCTCACCCCAGCACTATCCGGGAGCATGTGGGGGTGTGGGTGCAGCCTGGAGCACAGCACTTGGGGTCTCCTTGGCCAGGCCTTGCACCCCCACCTCCTGGCCTCTTGGTGTCTGCAGCTGCCCACCCTGTGGGATCCCGTGGTTGGCCAGGGAGAAATGAGGCAGGGTGTGGTCCACAGTCTCCATGTCACTTGGAGGGTGGTCCCCAAGCTTTCCTGTCTCCCTTTTGAGCCCACCCCCTTGCAGCCTGGTGACCTGCTGGTTCCCTGCAGGAGGAGCCCGGTGTGAACGCTGTCGTTACTGCAAAGGAAGAGTGTGAGGGTCCCAGGACAGAAAAGCCCGAAGACCAGGAGGAGGATGCCGCCGAGCGTGACACAGAGCACGACACAGAGAGGGTGAGGTGCCACGCGGTTGGCAGCTGTGCAGCCCCGAGGCTGCAGGGTGGTGGGCACAGTGCACATGGGTGCAAGGCCACGTGGGAATGGCCAGGACTGCTGGGGCCTGTGGGCGGTCTGCCTGGCCTGGCCCCCGTGGCCCAGTCTCACAGCGTCTTTCTGTCCCTGTTGTTACCATTTCCCCCGAGTGCTTGAGACCGAAGCCAGGCGCCCCCACACCAGACAGGCACTCTGCCACTAGGAGGTCCACCCACTGGGTGAGCCACCCACGGGGGAAGTCCAGGGACAGAGCCCAAACTCTCCCTGGTCCAGAAACACTCCAGGCACAAGAAGAAGCACAAGAAGGAGAAGGGGGACCACCGGTCCAGAGACAAGAAGTCCAAGAAGAAGCCGCTTGAGCGCGAGGTGGCAGCGGGGGAGCCGGTGGAGAACGGCGCCGCTGAGGAGGAGCCCCTCCCGGTGAGGGTCTCCTGCTGTCACCCTCCCGAGGAGCTCCTGCGACCTCCACTGATTGGAGAGACCCAGAGGGTTCTGGAAGCCTGCCCATGGGCGCAGCTGAGGGTGGGGTGGGCCAGGGGCTGGAGGCAGCCTGCAGTTAGACCCAAGGGCACCACCTGGAGCCTCTGCTCCGCAGAGCATTTCACGCCCAGCCCCAGGCAGCACCACGCAGCACCACAGCCCCAGGTCCTTGTCACCCACACTGACCAAGTCCTTCTTTCCCAGCCCATGTCCAGCTACTGCCTCCTTGCCGAGAATTCTTACATTAAAATGGTGAGTGATGGTGCTTCTAGGGGGCGGGGGCCCCTGGGGCAGAGAGTGGTGGGGAAGTCTTGAGGGACAGATGGCAACTCCACCTCACCGGCCACCAGAGGCTCCCAGATGTTCCCAGGGAGGTGGCACTTAGGCTGTGAGACAGACCTCACTTCCAGTGCATGTCATAGACATGCTACCGGTGGCCAGGCTGCCCGAGGTCAGCCCTGTGCTTACAAAAGATGTCCAGGGGTGCACCCATCATCCCAGCCACTTGGGAGGCTGAGGCAGGAGGACGGCAAGTTCCAGGCCAGCTTCAGCAACTGAGACCCTGCCTCAACTAGTAAGGGCTCCAGGGGTAGCTCAGTGGTGCAGCTCCCTGGGTCAGTCCCAGTGCTGGAAACAGAAAACGGCAGGCTCAGGCTGTGGGCAGCCCCTGCCCCGCCTCCTGCCCCACCCTGCACCCGCTGGGCACGGATCGCTTTTAGTTGGCAGAGAAGCAATTTCCTTGCCCTGCAACAAGCTGGCGGCCCTCAGTCCTGTCCCTGGGCTTGCTTCCTGCAGACGTATGATGTCCAGGCCAGCCTGCAGAAGGACAGCCAGGTCACGGTGTCCGTCATCCTGGAGAACCAGAGTAGCAGCTTCCTCCAGCACATGGAGCTCAGTGTGCTGGACTCGCTCAACACCAAGATGGCGCGGCCAGAGGGCTCCTCTGTCCACGACGGCGTCCCCGTGCCCTTCCAGCTGCCACCTGGTGAGCCGCCTGCCCCCCATCTGGCCTTCTCTCCTCAGCCCCCGGGGGCCAGGATCGTGACCCAGACCTCAGGGTGCTGGTGGCGGCAGCGGCCCCAGCCTCGAGCATCTGGGGTCTCGCAGGCCCTCAGCACGGCGGCCTGAGGCAGAGAAGCCAGTCAGGGTCGGGGTGGGACTCCAGCAGGCCTCCGTTTCTGCCTCCGTGTCCATGGCCTCTCCTGGGGAGCCAGCTTCCCAGCTAGCCATGGGGGATCAAGAGCCAGCTCCAGAGACAGAGCCAGAGCCGGGACCCCGGCTGAGCCCCTGCTGTTGGTCTCCCCGTCCAGGCGTCTCCAATGAAGCCCAGTTTGTGTTCACCATTCAGAGCATCGTCATGGCCCAGAAGCTCAAGGGGACACTGTCCTTCATCGCCAAGGTGTGTGCCACTGGGAACGCAGTCCTCCTGGGTCCCTGGCTAGTGTCCACCTGGCCGCTCTACAGCCGGCAGTGCACAGAACCCTGCTGGGGCTGGGCCCCTGTCCCCTGTCCCAGCGAGGGTGTTGGGGGTCCCCAGGGTTAGGGAGCCCCATGCTCGGGTGTGATCCCCAGCAGCCCCACCTTCCTCCTCCACAGGACGCCAATGGGGCCACCCACGAGAAGCTGGACTTCAGGCTGCACTTCAGCTGCAGTGCCTACCTGGTGACCACGCCCTGCTACAGGTGCGCTCCTCTCCTGTGCAGGGGCGGCGACCCCCGCCTGCACGGCTGCTGCCCGCCTCTTGGTGTGCGAGGACATCTTGTCCCTGTGTGCGCGTCTCTGTCTTGACCTCCTCCTCTCACAAGCACACCAAGCATACTGGATAGGGCCACCTAAGTGACCTCATTTTGCCTCAGTGACTTCTTGTAAGGCCATCTCCAAACAGAGTCCTATTCCGAGGCAGCGGGGTTAGGACACAGCATGGTCTTTAGGGGGCATGGCCAGTTCAGAGACCTCCCAGGCCCCTGGCTTGTGAGGCAGGCTCCACCAAGCCTCCTGGGGGCAGGGCCCAGGCCCCTCACCTGTCGCCACTGGCCTGTTCTGTGTCCCTCCCACAGCGATGCCTTTGCCAAGTTGCTGGAGTCCGGGGACCTGAGCATGAGCTCAATCAAAGTTGATGGCATTAGTATGTCCTTCCAGAATCTTCTGGCAAAGATCTGTTTTCACCACCACTTTTCAGGTAAGGGATATGATGTGGTTAGTTCTGGGCGCAGCCTGTACATGCGGGTGGTCCCCCTTAGCTGGCCTGGCGTGTGTCGCAGGACCTCCCCAGGCCACAGCAGCCCTTGCTCACCTCAGCCAGCTCCTACACCTCTTGCCCCACTTGCCCCCATGGCTGAAGGCCACCTAGGGAAGGCCCTGCCCTGGGAGGGACAGCCCCGACTGTGTCTTGCCGCTTTCTTGCAGTTGTGGAACGAGTGGATTCCTGCGCCTCCATGTACAGCCGCTCCATCCAAGGCCACCACATCTGCCTCCTGGTGAAAAAGGTGAGTGGGCACGGCTTCTGCACCCTCACGGGGGCTCTTCTGCACCCCTCAGGGGGCTGCTGGGCCCTGCAGAGCTCCACGGGCTCTCCACTCACCTCCCTCTGGGACCTCCGCTCTGTGGTTCCCTGGCCTAAAGGCAGGTCCCTTGCTCCCCTACTCTGCCCACCCTCTACGTGACCCTGCTCCTGGGGCCTGGGCCTGGAGGGCAGGAGAAAAGGCAAACTGGCTGCCAGTTCAGGGCTTCTTGAATTCTAGTCTCCACCCCAGGCCACCTGCCACCCTCAGTGCCCCACGGCATCCGGTGGCTGCTCCCGTCTCTGGCGGGAGAGAGCGCAGTGTGCACACTGCCCACGTGTGGTGAGCAGATCACCAGCACACCAGGACTCTGCCTAGCCTGCCGAGGCCCTGGGTTCCCCCGCAGCAGGAGGCGGGCAGTGCGCGCAGGTGCAGGCAGCCTTGGCTCCGTTTCCCCAGGGCGAGCACTCGGTGTCTGTGGATGGGAAGTGCAGCGACCCAACTTTGCTCAGCAACTTGCTAGAGGAGATGCAGGCGACGCTGGCCCAGTGCTGAGTGCCAGGCATGACGACTGGCACGTCTGGCGTGTCTCGCCTCTCCCTTGTCCTGTGCACTGTCCCTGTGCCCAGTGTTGGTCGAACTCCACTGTCACCTGTGTAGACATCCGCAATCCTATGTTGTGTTGATTTTTTTGATCCTTTTTTACTTTAAATCTGTCCATTCTCTGGCAAGAAGCCCTGTTCCAGTCCCCAAACCAGCAAGGGGCTTCCAGCTGTGCTCCACGCCCTGCCCAGGTGGCTCACTCCTCCAGTGTGGTCACTGGGGCTGCCAAGGAGCCCTTGGGACCACCAGGCCAGGACTGGCAGACCCCACGGGGAGGATGCTTGGCAAGCAGGCTGCAGCTAATCTGGGGCCTGTCCTTCTGCCTCCCAGGCCTTTTCTGGGGGAGCCCCTGCTGTTGCTCTTTCCCCAAACATCCCCACTGGTGGCATTTGTAGGGAGGTGAGCAGGCGGCCATCACCAAGCTGCTCTCCCTAGACCCCGTGATGAGAAAACGGTCGTGCTGTCTGTGCTCCTGGGTCCCCTGCGTAGGCCAGGCCTTAGGCATGAATCACTGACAGTTGAATCACATCCTGGGCTGTCTGGGAATGGGGGTGGAGCCGGATGACCCCATGTCCCTCTGCTCATCACTGAACACACCCAGGCTTGCCTCCACCTCAACCCTGTTGGGAGGCCCAGGTGGGGCTCAGGAGCGCCACGCCTAGGCTTGTGTCCAGTGGTGGAGGACATGTCCCAGACGCCTCTCGGGCTGGATCCCCTGAAGAGCCCCCTCCTGGGCTGAGCAGCCACTAGGCAGGGCGCGGGGACCCAGCCAGCCCATCGCCCACAGGCAGGCAGTGGGTGAGCCAAGTTCCCGAGATGATGGCTCCCCATGACGTTTTAACTGTTCCTTTTGATGGAAATGGTCACTTTAGCATGTAGGGTAATCTATTATGGAATCCCATACCGTGATTCTAGAACTTTGAAATTGTATGATGTTACACGACTATTTGCTATCGACATTCCCGTGTAGACATATCACGCTGCTGTAATGATTTTGTGTCCAGATGATCCAATAAAGTTGCAGAACAGACTCTGCACGTTCCTCCGGCCTGTGTATGCCTTTCACCAGGGTCGCACCCAGGTTGGGGTTGCAGAGGTGTCCACGGTCCCCAGCGTGCAGTCATGGCTCCTGGGCCTGGGGTGGTAGTGGGTGAGGGAATCTCCAGCCTCTACCCATGGAGTGTTGTCACCTAGAAGTCACAGTTGAGGCGCGGTGGGGAGGGCCAGGATCAGGCTGGAAGGGGCTGGCGTTTGGTCTCCAACAGACAGTCGAGTGGCATCACTCTGGTACAGACCCAGCCCTGCCCGTGACCCACAGCAGGACTGGCTTCTTGTCCAGGCTCTGCTGTCTGAACGGCCACCACCTGTGGGCTCTTTCCCATGATTCCAGACATCCACTTCAGCCCCTGGTCTGGACCCTCAAAGGGGCCTTAGGCTCAGTGTTGGTAACCACACAACGTGCTTGGTGGCCAGCTGCTCAAGTGGCATGATTCCCGATGGCTCTAACGCCCCTAGTCTGGAAGGCAGGTGGTGAGGAGCCACCACAGGCTGCCGCACATAAGCGGCATGCGTTCTCCCAGACTTGCAGGCCCTGCCTGCGCACAGCACCAGCACACCTGGGGCACGTGCGCACGGGGCCAGCCACACATGGATGCAGAGCAAAGGAGCTGCAGATGGCTAAAGGCAGCCATGAAGCCACCCCAAGAAAGGAGCGTGCCCTCCGCCAGCCTTGTGCAGCTGCGGTGCGTGTGCCCACCGCCTCCGCCTGCTGCAGCCCGCCCTTCCCAGGGAGGGGCAGTCGGAGCCTCTCTACTCCCCACTGAGAAATGGTGCAGCAGGGACCACAGTGGCCCGTGTGCATCTGTTGTCAGAGGCAATGTGCCTGTGTGAGTGCCCTGGGGGTGGGGGTGGGTATGCGGGGGCAGCACCTTCATCCTTCCAGGGACTCTGAGCTCAGCTGGAGTTCGGGGCAGAGCTGTGGCCAGAGCCCCCGGGCAAGGAAAGCTGGCCTGGCTCTCCCCCAATGTAGCCCCATCTTATGCTCTCAGAAGGAACCCATGGCTTCCTTGGTGTGCCTTCCTGTGAGCCTGCCCACGGGTGTTCAGGAGCGGAGGGTGGGCTGTTGGGAATCGCTGGACCTGACACTGGCTCCATGGACACGAGGCCAGAAGCCCTCTGAATGGCTCCTGCCGGGCAAGAACTGTTCTTGGATGAGAAATGTCAGGGAACTTTAATCCTCCTGTCAAATAGCTCTGAGACCCTGCCCAGGGGCTGGTGCTACACACCAACCCATCCCCCTTCCCTTCCCCCAACCCTGGCCCAGCCTGGGCTCTCTGGGGTTGGGGGGACCCGAGGCAGCAGCAAGCCTGCGTCAGAGGCACAATGAGACAGTCCAGCTGAGTCCTTTGCCCCACTGCAGCTGGGGGCAAGGTGGTGGCCCTCAGTGCTGGGTCAGACACTCCGAGGCATTTTCCAAGGTCAAGTTGGCCAGGTGCTGTGGTTCCAGGCACGTGAAGCTTGGTGATATCAGGCTGCAGGGAACAAATGGCCTCAGCCTTCTCCCCCCGCCCCCGGCCTCCCTCCCTCCCTGGATGGCCAGCTGGGAAACTCGGTCCCGGTGCATGGATGAGGCCTGCCTATTCAGAGTGCCAGGTGGGGTGGCCTTAAGTGGGGCTCTCTGTTGAGGGGCACCCCTCTCCCCAGTGGCTGCCTGCTTCATGCCACCTCCCTCCCCAGTCACTCACAAGGCTGGAGTGGTTCTGCACGTCCCAGGCGAGGAGATGAAGGAAGCCATTTGTTCATGAAATGACCACTCGGGTGGTAGCAGAGCAGGTCCGGCATGTCCCGGGTGCAGAGAGAGCCCTCCCCATGGTACACACCTGCCCCCCAGCCCAGAGGAGCCCACTGTGCCCATTCCCCCTAAAGTCCAGGGCAGCCTTACCTCATGCTGGTGTCCTGTCTGAAAGACATGGCAGGCTCTCATCAGACCCCCGCTCTGGGGCTAAAGCTGTGCCCATGGCCCTCAGGCCTGCCCGGGGGCTCTGACCACAGCTCTGCCCCGAACTCCAGCCGAGCTCAGAGGCCCTGCAAGGATGAAGGTGCTGCCCCCACATACTCACCCCCAGGGCACTCGCACAGGCATACTGCCTCTGACAACACAGAGTTGGGTTTGAGGAGGGACTTACTTGTGCCAATTATTTCTACAACGACAGCCGGTTTGGAGTCAGGGGATTAAGTGTCCTTGAACGGTGTCCCCTCCCTGAGCCCAGAGACCCCTGACTCACATGTAACTGAGAAGACCACGCACGGCTGTCTCCCACTGTGCTGAAGACCTGCGGGGACATGGGCCTTGGAGGTGGCATGCCCCCAAGCCCCAGGCCCTGCCCTGCCCTGCCCTGGTGACGAGCCCAGGATCCCATGGATAGAAGGGCCCTACTTGCAGTTGTAGCCAAAGCAGACGACATGTGAGTCTGTGCAGTTATTGCAGGAGATGGTGTCATACTGGAAGATGCCTGCAACACAGGAGACGGCCGCAGGCTCCCCTGGGTCTGCCAGCCTGAGCCACCATCCTGCTCCACTCAGCCATGACCCAGGCTCACTTACCACAGTGACGCTGACAATCAATGCGGCCTGTGGGAGAACAGGACAGCATGTGCTAACCAGGCCCAGCTTGCCCAGAGGCTCAGGGCTCATCCCTGGCCACCTGGAGCACAGGCACACCTGGGTTTCAGGAATGTGTGTCTAAGACCGGGGTGGGGGGGTGGGGGGTCCCATCCAAGGAACTAGTTCAGGAGGTGCCAGGGCATCTACCCATCAAGCACTCTGTGACCCTGAGGTGACAGGCCCACTATGACAGCTGTCCAACTTCCCCTCTGCCGCAGGCCAGCTGGCAGCTTTGAATCCTGGTCTCCAGCAGCGCTCAGCCCTGGAGGAGCTGGGGCCCTCTGGCACTCTGACAACCTGTCCTGGCCTCCTCAGAAGCCCGGGCAGCATGCCCACGGCTGAACCCTCCTCTAGACTCACTTTCAATGATTGCGTTCTGGATGAGGTGCACCTGGTCCCGGAAGATGCTCCGCAGCTCATTGGGGAAATACCCTGATGGGGCAGGCAGAGAAGGGAGGTCAGGCTCAGGCGGTGGGTGCGGTGGGCTGGCCTCGCCTGTTTCCTGCCCCTTACCCGGGAAGTACATCTTCCCCTGGTACAGCTGATCCATCCTCCGGTACACGGCTTCCGCCACATGGTTCAGCTTATCCCGGGCTGCGGACGAGAGGAGGAGGCAGGTGAGCGGCCCGGCCCGGGGATCCCTCCTAGCCGACCCCACGCTGGGCTCCGCGCGCACTGATCTCCGCCGGGATGGCCAAATGCAGTTCCCTCATCGTGTCTTCGCTCCAGTCCGTGAGCAGAGCCCCAGAAACGGGGATGTCGCCCACCCACCAGGACTTGAGGTTTACGTGGTGGCGATAGAAGGAGAACTTCTCCGAGAAGTTGTCGTGGCAGTGCAGGCAGCCGCGGGCCAGCGCCGCGGTCATGCCCAGGTACAACAGCAGGGCCATGGCCCGCCCCGCCCGCCGCCGGCCAACCGACGGCGCCCCCACGCCACGCCCTTCTGCAGTGCACCAACCAACGGCGCCTCCGTGCCACGCCCTCCCGCCGCGCACCAACCAACGGCGCAAACCCGCCCCCAGAGAAGCCCCGCCCCCGCGAAAGGCCCCACCCCCGGCCTCAACTGGCAAAGTCTGGCACCTGTCCCTTCTCAGGCCCCGCCTACGAAACGCCAATCACAGAGAAGGCTCCACCCCCGTGTTGGAGCCCCCCCCACAGACAGGATCTCACGCATGCGCCAACCCCGGAAGCCAGCTCCTCTTGGCCTGGCCTCGACTGAGGCCCCGCCCCGCGTTACAACTACCACATAAGCTCCTCCCACAGGCCTCCAACCAGGCTCCAGCCAATGGTGGTTGCTAGGCAACAGGAACGCGGTCCGGCCAGCCCGGCTGTCGGTCAGTACCCGCGCCTCCTTTCCGGGGCAGTGACGTAGCACCTCCATCCGGGGCCGGGCCTGTAGGGAAAGTAGGTCCGGCTCCGCGGGTGCGGCCGGGGCGGGGCCTTCGATGTGTCCCTCCGCCGCGTGTCCCTCCGCGATCGGCGGTCAGGCTGTGGCGGCCAGAGACTGAGGGGAGGCGGGAGCTGGAAGTGCCGGGCGGACGTGAGGCGACCAGGTGGGTCCTGGCGGCTGAAATCGGGCGGCGGGAGCCGGTGCTGGGGGGGCG